ATGATATGGATGACCGTGTCCCTGAGTGGGCGTTGCCGATTGAGCGTGTGTCGAAGTGATGTAGGTAGCAGACTACGCGCTCACCTGAAAAGACGAGACAGCCTGGCTAAGGTGGCTATGAATCGACACCTGTGTGGAAAGATTTGCGACCATACGTTCGCTCACAAATAAGTTGGTCGATTCTATTAGTTACAAAAAAGAAACGAAACGAAAAGAAACGAAACGAAAACGACTTCTGTCTTCGTTTCGCATTTTTCAACCACCACAGGGCTCGAGCGCCTATCTTCTTCAATTTTCTTTTATTCATCCATTTCCACGCAATTTCTTTTTCTTTCTGTTTTTTTTTTTTTTCATTTCCATCGATCACGTCGCATTTCGTTCAAAATTATTGCTGAAACTACACCATTGCTCTAAAATCTATGCAGCGCGCACACACACACACGAATGCATTCTCGTATAAGGGAGATGTTTTTGCAGTTCTGTGTACGCACATGTGACGATGCACACACCCACACACACAAAGATACATACATAGAGAAATATAACAAGAAATAATAAAAATTTGCATTGTATGAAGAAATGATTTCTCAGTATTTTCAAAGCATTATTGATTTATATATATATATATATATATATATATATATATATATATAAAGTCTGCTCATATCTGTTTACATCTATTCATATTTTCACCTATCTCCCTACGTTTCTATATAAGCCTGTTCATATCTATATCTGTTAATATCAATCTATCTTAACATGTTAATATCTTTCTATGCTTCTTCAAGTCAGTCTGTTCACAGCAATTTATCTAAGTCTGTTCACAACAATCTATCTATCTAAGGCTGTTCACAACAATCTATCTATCTAAGGCTGTTCATAACAATCTATCTATCTATCTATCTATCTATCTATCTATCTATCTATCTATCTATCTATCTAAGGCTGTTCACAACAATCTATATATCTATCTATCTATCTATCTATCTATCTAAGGCTGTTCACAACAATCTATCTATCTATCTAAGGCTGTTCACAACAATCTATCTATCTATCTATCTATCTATCTATCTAAGGCTGTTCACAACAATCTATATATCTATCTATCTATCTATCTATCTATCTATCTATCTATCTATCTAAGGCTGTTCACAACAATCTATCTATCTATCTAAGGCTGTTCACAACAATCTATCTATCTAAGGCTGTTCACAACAATCTATCTATCTATCTATCTATCTATCTATCTATCTAAGGCTGTTCACAACAATCTATCTATCTATCTATCTATCTATCTAAGGCTGTTCACAACAATCTATCTATCTATCTATCTATCTAAGGCTGTTCACAACAATCTATCTATCTATCTAAGGCTGTTCACAACAATCTATCTATCTATCTATCTATCTATCTAAGGCTGTTCACAACAATCTATCTATCTATCTATCTATCTAAGGCTGTTCACAACAATCTATCTATCTAAGGCTGTTCACAACAATCTATCTATCTATCTAAGGCTGTTCACAACAATCTATCTATCTATCTATCTATCTAAGGCTGTTCACAACAATCTATCTATCTAAGGCTGTTCACAACAATCTATCTATCTATCGCTGTTCACAACAATCTATCTATCTATCTATCTAAGGCTGTTCACAACAATCTATCTATCTATCTATCTAAGGCTGTTCACAACAATCTCTCTATCTAAGGCTGTTCACAACAATCTATCTATCTATCTCTCTATCTAAGGCTGTTCACAACAATCTATCTATCTATCTAAGGCTGTTCACAACAAACTATGTATATAAGCAATCTCTCTCTCTGCATACATCCATATATATATATATATATATATATATATATATGACATTTCATATCTATCTAAGCGCGTTCATAAAGATAAATATGTATCTGTTCCTCGCCGTTTGGTTTGGGAACTGTTTTATTACCACCAGCGTTATTTTATATTTATAATTAAATAATCAGAGACAAATAATATTTAATAGCAATTATTAGCAAGTTCAGTTCGGAAGACTAACCCCGTTATAATGATGTTGATTCGCGTGGTGTGTTCTACTGTTTTATAAATCAGGGAATCCAGTTGTATCAACAATTATCACTATGTACACACGCACAGATAAAACAATAAATCTGCCGTTCAATAAAAAAAAGACGTTATTTTACATGATATTTATTTTTATTTTTTTTTACTACAATTTCCTTTTGTTGTCACTTACTCAATTCAATTGTAAATATTAGTCACAGAACCGACCATTATGAAGTTAAGATTTCAAATCAACTAACGAATAGTGTTGGCGCGCCAGCTTCAGATTTAAAGTTCCAACATTGTATATGTCGATAGGTAAGTACTTAGTTTCGATTCTGACGTGATATTTGATAATGATTCGTCTGTCAGTAGTTCTCACATTCTTTTTCACTGACGAGCTTATAAACATGTTTGTGTCTGTTTAATTCTCAGCTGCACATACACACACATGCGCGCGCACAAACCTTTTGTCTATATCAGTCAACTAAACTCAGTATTTTGTAAGGTATATGGGAGGACTGCCTATTTATTTATTTAACTTTCTATCTACCTAAAGCTCCATGCTATAAATGTACCTTTGTTCATATTGATATCTATACATATATATTCCTGAATTAGAATAGACAGTGACAAAAACGTAGAGAAAAATAGAAGGATAGAGAGAAAGTAAACAACAGAATGATTCAGAAAGAAAATTTTCAGTTAGCTAGATCGATAGATAATACACGTAATTAAATATGAAACATAGTCAAGTCGAGGAATAGAAAGACTGTGTTGCGTCGTTTCTAAAAGAAACCACAGCCTGTTTACAGTATAGATTATTAGCATTTAAAGACTTATCGTCTGTATGTTCCCTAGCTATTACGCCTTTTCCCTTATACCTGTAGACAGTTTATCTATTAACTTATTAGTCAATTCGATAATGCCCGTTGGTAGAGGTGTACGTCAGTAGAGTTTATTTCGTCGATTATTCAATTAATATAATCCGCGCTGAAAACACATGACAGCCTTTTTTTTTCCTCAGCCTTTCGCGAGGCTGTCCCTGACTGTGAGTTCTACTGCGTGTGTGCGATTGGCTGCTTTACGCAACATTCGACAGTAAATGCAACAGTTGCGTTCTTATGCATGGCGTGAGATAAGAGATAGCAGAGTGCGAACATGCGCATACATGGTCATTTCGATACTGTCAAAATTGTACAGGGTGTGGCAGAAATAACTCCCACATGATGGCAAGACATTTTCTACCAGAATTACCCTGGTCGTTGATATTAAGCAAAATAAACATATATTTTGAGGACATCGCTGGTAATTTTTCAAGTTGGCTCCAAAAGTAGTTGTTTTGTACTTAAGAGAAAAATATTAAACATGGTTTTAAAAAAAGCAAAAAAAAAAAAGCGACGTAATTTTTTTTATTAGAAATTTTATTATGGCAAAAACAAACAAAAAACATTTTATGGTCAAATATTGCTCCCCTCAAAATATCCTCCTTTAGCCTTGATTATTGCAGGATACATTTTTGGCATTCGTTGCAAAAGATTCTCAAAGTAGTATGATAATTGATTCCATCCTTTTTTTCGATGACTCTAAGAGGTCTTTTACATTTTTTTTTCATTCTTCTGTCAAGTTCATCCCAGACTAATCTGAGGTGGCATCAAATTTTTGAACTTTAGTGTTTTATATATATATATATATATATATATATATATATATATATATATATATATATATAGATAACTAGACTCGTTTCGAAAAACCCTTGAATTTTTGATTTGCTAATCAAATCAATCTCGAGGGGAAAAAAGGTTTTAAAAAAAAAAATTAGACAGTTTCCCATTATTGACATTCCACCTTAATGTTCGTGTGTTTTTTTTTGTTTTTTTTCCTCCCCATTTTCGTTGAATAAATATTTTACTCCCCCCACTTAGGTTTGTGTTTGTGGCTTTTTGGTCACGTGGTATGATTTTAGCTATCGCCTATAAATGTGTTTCTCTTTGCCTCGTTAGCTTGACTTTCCCTGACGATCCGTTTAGGTGAAACCTAGGTAGGTTTGTCTGGCTCACTAGTGTATATATATATATATATATATATATATATATATATATATATATATATAAAATAAAATCAAAGATTTGTTTGATTTAATGATTTAATATGTTGATTCAATAATTAGTAAGTTATATATGTACATTGTTTTGATTAGTTCCTACTAAGCTTGGATACTAATATTATTTAACCAATTAGGTAATGCCATCCATTATTTAATATATTTTATCTAAAATGTGAAATCTGCCAGACTTCAAATTAGATCGTAGATAAGGTCGTCCCTCGGCCGATTCCCATTCCTCGCCAGTCTTTTGAATGGGAATAGAAATGTCTCTCTTGTTTCTTATGTAACATTGAGATTCCAGTTCCTTCTCCAAAATTAATGTCATTCTCTTTAACTCTCAATATGCTTTGTGTCTTAGTGGCATTATCGCCTTTCTTGCAGAAAATATCTAATATATATATACATCATATTATATTATATTTCTTCAGTCGTTATTTTTTGTGGACACTCGTATTGGAGTAGTTGCTCTGTTAACAGTATTTATATCGTCGACCCAAACAAAACGTAATAAAAGAAAATATCACCCCACAGCAGATTCAATTCGAACCTACGTAATAAACATATAGTATATATTTGATTTTTATATAGTATATATTTTATATTGATTTTCCAAGCGTAGCTTAGATGTGGCACAAGGCCGCAAGTATGAGGCACCCAGTGAGGATCGAACTCACTATTCAGTCGTAACTGTTCTAGCGAGACAAGCTTGCTAACCATTACACCGCCATGGGGTGCCCAAGTATATATTTTATATAATAAAAAGTAATACGTCAGATTAGAAATAAAATTCATTAATTATCTAGAAATATCCCTTTTACACACATATATATATATATATATATATATATATAAAACATAATCTCTTAGTACCAAAATTCTGATATTCGTCTTATATATATATATATATATATATATATATATATTAGACAGAGAGATTATAGCAGATGTTAATCGGTACACGCAAACTCGTATTTATGACGTTAGGTAGAAAAATAAATAATCATATCTGCATTTGGTAGATAAAAAGAACATAGAGAAAAAAAAACTTACATATGAAAAGTAGTAAGCAACCAGGCCGCTATCCAATAAAATAATGAACAATAGACATCTACTCCTGGTAAGTAAATAGATAGGTATTGATGAGGTATAGATACATGGATCTGTACCAAGCCTGCATACAAAAGTCGTTATATTGAACATACGGCTCTTTGAAATCTATATTTGGCATCACAAATAAGTCCATTGCTTTGCAACGCTTTTGTAGTTGGGTACTATTAAATGTTTAGTCACTATCGATGTGATCTTTTCAGTAAAGGTATGTATATGTATGCGTATATATCTGAGGGATTTCTAATAAATTATCGATAAGGCTTTCCTTTTTTCCTTTTTGTTTTTCAAATTGGATGTTTGATCTGGTATTTGTTCAATACTTGAAAACTTTGTAGGTTCGAGAAATTCTCAGCACCTTCTTGGTGTGGAATCATAAAACTGCCTCGGTACATGAATCTGTCCTAAGAAAATGTACAAAAGAAGATAAGAACATTCAACCAAGGTACTACGTTTCTCCAACTCAATAAAATCCTGTGCAACCGAAATATCCAACTAGACTCATATTCTTAAATCGCCTCGTCACATCTAGCCAGTTATATGTAAGCTATGCATTCTGTCCAATTCACACAGAAAGATCTATCATGTGTATAGGAATCTCTCAGGTCAATGATTTAAAATGGCTTTAAACAAATGAATCCTGTAGATCTTAACGTAGAACATTCTTCATTAGACTATCGCAAATAGATCACAAAGAGATTTACCAAATACCAAAAAAATAACGATGTCACTTCAAAAACATTAGCAACAATAGCAAAGAAATAAATGAATAAAATAAAATAATTAAATCAATTTGTTAGCATTTCACACTCCCGTAAACAAAAGTTTTGGAAGGAAATTCTTGTCAATTTAACAGTTTTAATTTCCTTAAGATATGTACGAGATTCTTTAAGCTTAGATGTGCGGGTGGTGAAGTCGATAATGTCTGGGAATTGTTAATCAGAGAATCGAGTTCAAATTCTCGTTGAGTTTGCTATATTCACTTACGCGCAAATACATTTAGGAAAGCTATGAATCCATTACTTCTCCTCCAGCTTTGGGTTAATTAATAGGAATTGTATCACTTAACCATTATTATCACCCCTAAATGCCTTACAATCTAAAAATATATATTTGGCTTTAAATAACCAGCAAGGGGTTGATAGACCGTAGAAAATCAATCAATTAGTTTGATTCATTCCTTAAATGATCCCAATTAAAGATTATCCATATAGAAAAGAAACTGAAGCCTGTCAATAAGGCGGGGTGGAAACGATATGACCAATTCGAAGCGTTTTGACATAAACTGACTTAGTCATCGTTTAGATATGGAAATAAACAAGAAATTTCAGTTTCACCGAAACCCCAGGCAGAACGTCAAGTTATACAGTCAGATATGGAAAAGAAACTTAATTTCAAATATACGTACATATCTTAACAATTTATAGAATATTGAACTGACAGATTC